TGGAGGCAGCAGCTGCCCGCCGGGGCAGGATGTGTCGGATCGCCTCAGTCTGCTTCTGGGCAGCCGAGAACTGCTGGGCAAAGCTCTCGACTGCGTCGCCGAAGAGGCCGGTCTGGGACACAGGGGAATTGAGGAACCGTCCATGACCTGGTGAGCTCGTCATGCACTTCCAGGAAGAAAAGCACCGGGGCGGGGCGCTGAGAACCAGCGCGAGCCACCCCGAGAAACCAATCATCCAGCCTTGAGGGCTCGGGACGCGGTGGAGGTTTCCACTCGGGCCCGACCCTTTCGGCGGCCCGGGAAAGCATAGCTGTCATCTCCGGATCCGATTCAGGCTTTGCCACCGTCCCGGAGGGCGGCAGCGCGGCCGAATCTTCTTCGGACATCTCTCCCTCCGATGCTGAAATCGATATCTGGTCGGGGGGAGGTCCACTGGATACCGCTGGTACGCTCTTTAAAGAGGGCCCAGCGCGTTCCGTGGGTCGCTCCACTGGATCGGAGGATCAAGAGGAGTGATGGTCCCCAGAGGGTTGGTTCCCTGCGGGGTTTGCCATCACTGTAACCCTCAAACCGCCCGCGCTACTGCTGGAAGTGGTTCTCGTCTGTCCGCCAGAACGAGCCCCAGATCGCGGCAGCGGCAACGGGACTCCGCCCCCTTCCGAGTAGCGGAGCCTGGTTCGCAGCTTCGAGATGGTCATGTTCCCGCAATGAGAACATGACTCATCCACGAAGGCCACCTCAGCGTGCTTAATGCCCAGACACGTGAGGCAGCGATCGTGACCATCACCCGGTGCCAGGTAACGACCGCACCCAGAAACGCACGGGTGAAACGGCATCCTTATAAGGACGATCCGTCGTCTTTATAAAGACGCACCTGTGGAGCTCTTTTAGAGAAATTTGCTCTTTTAGGAAATGCTCTTTTAGTGCTGAAGCGCACAGGGGAGATGGCCGCTTGCAACACGACAGGGGGTAGTGCAGCCTGAAGTGCGCAACCCACTCGACACTGGAACGACCACCGCTGAAGCGCCGTCTCGCCAACACAAGAAGCTTCCGAGAGTGTGCTGAACTCGTAGTTCTCGAACAGACACAGTTGAGCAGAACTACGTTGTCGTTCGGCTCCGAAGCGAAAAGCTGGTATGCATTGCACCTGCTGCCTTATTATACTCACGCTGTGATCAGCGGCAGCTGGATGCAATAATTGCATGCCAATGTGCATTGGCTCGTTTAGTTTACACTCGAAGTAGATTGGTCTATCGAAGCGATATCCCAATTCGTCGGTCACCGACGTGACTCGGAGTGACCGACTGAAAGGGAACTTTCCGGCATCAATTCTAGTAGGGTAAAATGTAATTACGCTTTCAAAACGGTCTGTTTTGCCCTGAAGCTGTTTTGTCCTGTTTTGCTGAAGCTGTGTGTGAACAAGAAGCGGCTGCAGAGTGTGAGTTGCTCCGTCTCTCACGCAGCCGCCAGAGAGAGATTCTCCGGTGTTCCGCAACAACACTTAGCTGCCCGCAGATTTGCAGCACAGACGACCAATGCCGATTAATTAAAAAATGTTAATTAAATGCTTAATTTTAAATTTTTAAAATGCCAAAAATCGGCCGATTAATCGGTCGACCTTTATTGAGTACGTTTACATGGACAACAATAATCCGATTTTAACACAATTAAGACAATACTCTGATTAAGAATCTACCATGTAAACAGAGGTTTTTGATTACCTTAATCCGGCTAAAGTCACATTCAAAGTAAACAGAAATCGAATTAAGACGTGGAGTATTCCTATTTTAGTCGCATTACTGAAGTGCAGAATAGACATGTGCACACCTTAATCACATTATTACCGTCGTGTAGGACTTTTCGCCGCATTTTGCGACAGGATACACACGGCAGTGCTCAGCCTTTTGACGGCAAATAAAAGAGCTTCAACCCCCGCCGTCATCTGTATGCACGTACAAATAATTAACTGCACTTGAAGCTTTCATAAAATTAAAAATGAAACACCCAAAACTGTACATGGCATCATCACGAAGACGAACTATATGTTTATACGTGAAATTCCGGAGGGGACGTCGGATGTCGTCACTGCACTCCACCATCTCACTTTTACAGATTACTGTGGGGGGTCACTCTCACAGTCTCCTTATAAATGTGGGGAGGGCTAACAATTTCAAAAGGAATATTTTCTCACATTAAATATGTAGCCTTGTATAGTATCAAGCTTTTTTTGTATTGTTTAGGGATTAAATTGCCATGTTGAGGGTATTCTAATTGATATAATTGTGTTTTATCATAAAATTTAAAATGAAACACCCAAAACTGTACATGGCATCATCACGAAGACGAACTATACGTTTACATGTGAAATTCCGGAGGGGACGTCGGATGGCGTCACGTGGGACGTAATGACGTGTGCCATTAATCAAACTATGTACTATAACATGTAAAAAGGGAACATGAAAGGAATATTCTAAAAGCAACTCACACCATAATCATAATATTGGCTTATTTAGAATAAGGTAAATAATTAGATTACTGATGTCCATTTAAATGTAGTCATTGATGCACGTAGGGAGAGAAGGCTCACCCGTGTGGTCCGATCCAACAGACAAGCTACTATAGCTCAAATTGCTCAAGAAGTTAATGCTGGTTCTGATGGAAAGGTGTCAGAATACACCGTGCATCGCAGTTTGTTGTGTATGGGGCTGCATAGCCCATGCTGACCCCTGTCCATTGCCGAAAGCGCCAACAGTGGGCACGTGAGCATCATCACGTGGTGGTTTCGCTTACCTTGGGAACACATGGCACCAGGATGCACTATGGGAAGAAGGCAAGCCGGCGGAGGCAGTGTGATGCTTTGGGCAATGTTCTGCTGGGAAACCTTGGGTCCTGCCATCCATGTGGAAGCTTCTTTGACACGTACCACCTACCTAAGCATAGTTGCAGACCATGTACACCCTTTCATGGAAACAGCATTCCCTGGTGGCTGTGGCCTCTTTCAGCAGGATAATGCGTCCTGCCACAAAGCAAAAATGGTTCAGGAATGGTTTGAGGAGCACAACAACGAGTTTGAGGTGTTGACTTGGCCTCCAAATTCCCCAGATCTCAATCCAATTGAGCATCTGTGGGATGTGCTGAACAAATAAGTCCGATCCATGGATCCACTGTACGCATACCCTAGCGTACATGTAAAAACCTTGGGCTTAAAGCCAGAATTGTAGTCCAGAGTACAACCTTAAAAAACAAAACATCCAGTTTTTCTGTAGTAGAAAAACTTCAACTATTTAAAGTGCAGAATATATCTTTATTAGAGTGGTGGACTCTGGTAGAGGCAACATTCAGCAAGATCATGTCACTAATTTTGAAGAATTTCCTTACCTCCAAAAACCTAGTTTAACCCCTGCACGTAAGGTGATTAATCATATCTGTATGTGTTATTCTCTAGGCACACTGAAGAGAAAAAGAAATCCCGCTGCACAGACCCAGCCACAGCACCATCGCCAGCAGAGAGAGAACTATCAGATGGGCCAGATGCGACACTGAGAAGTCCTCCTCATTGCCTTGGTTCTTTCTAGTGCCTACAGTGGGAAACACTTCACTCCAAAGAGTTAGCTGAATCAATCAATGAAGCCCCATTAACAATCTAAGAAACTGGCAAATAAAAGGACTTCAAAGGACTATACTTAAGAAAACAACAGTTTTAAAGATTAAGAAACCACTGCTCTGGGAGCCAGCAAAGCTTTCGTTGCGTAGCTCAGAGAAAAAATTCAGAAGCTAGTCATGAGGAAGAGGACAGAATCAATTAATCAATTTTTTTTTCTGCTTTTCATATTTTTTCTCAAGTTATTAAACCATTATTCTCTCCACTAAATATTTTTTCCCCTCTAATGCCTTTTTATCTTTTTTTTATATTATCTTCTTTTTTTGGATTGCCACCCTCCTGTGGAGATAAGCATGATGGGATGTCACATAAATATTTCTGCCAATCAACAATGGCTGAGAGAACTCTTTAAAGAGACTCGTTTTCCAATATGTAATTAAGAGTATTTTGTCATCTATTTAATTTTGTTGAATGGGATCCTGGTAGTGCGACAGAGTCCGATGTTTCTAAAGTCTGTCTTCCCAAGCAACCTTGCATCCTTTAAGGATGTGCATTTAAAACATGGATGATTTGCTTATTCCTAGAAGATGAGTATTCCCGACTATAAGTCCTCCTTTTGATCTAAATCATCACCTCATTTGTGTGTCTCTGTAAATGTTAATGGGAAAAGGGTTTTTAGTGAGCTTAACTTTACTGCTCTGACTGCAATTGGCTTCAAATTAAATAATTTCCCACCCTCCTGTGGAGATAAGCATGATGGGATGTCACATAAATATTTCTGCCAATCAACAATGGCTGAGAGAACTCTTTAAAGAGACTCGTTTTCCAATATGTAATTAAGATGTTTTTTTTTTTTAAATGCAAGCAAAAGGATTAAAAAGCTTTTATTTCTGAAGCTTTCTCATTTTCTCCTGCGTGCAATTGTACAGAGATCACAAAATACATTGGATCTTTTTCAGTCATGTCATTTTTTTTATTCTGTTGGATTATGACAATTAAGGATATTTAACTGACACTCAGGATATAATAGGAAATAATCCTATTAATAGGATTAATAGAATTTCTATTGGTGAAAGGCCTTTGCTGAAAGCCACATTTGTGCAGAGCACCTCACCCCCCGCTGATAAATAACCACTAAATAGCTGCAGTTCTTCATTCCATGTGGCCAAGGGAGTTAATGAGAGAGATGATGGTTTAAAAAGATATGTCACTCTTATAAGAATCCTGATCTGCTGAGAGTCACTGTTACTTTATGTTCAGTCAGTAACACTGGTCCCACAGGAGACAGACTTGAGAAAATAAGCACATCAGGAAAGATTTGGTTTTTCAATACATAAAAGGTTTTTATTTTGCAATAGGATGTCGGAAACAGGAAAGTGTGGACAGTTACACAAATGAGTAGATCTCGGTGGTGTGCATTCGTGAAAGGATGGGATAGAGAGAGAGATGATAGAAGCAATCTGTAGATCCTTTAGAGTGTTTTTACACACCAATCAATATTTATACAAAGGAACTTTTCTTAATAGTTTTCAGTTATTACCTTTTAATAGCTAAAAAAAGAAACGATCCAAACTAGCAGCCTATATAATCAAAACATATGCCTTGTGTTGCTATTTAGTGTATCTGAACCAGCCCATGGTAATTTCACCATATCATTGCAGTCCAACATCTTTTTTTAAAAGAAATCCTTCCATTTTCTCTAAATGTGCTTTTGATTGTCTTATGTGTGTGTCTCAACAAAGGCAGAGGGTTGCAAATAATTCATGCATCACAAATGTCCTTTTTTAAATGTTCCTTTTTTTGCTTTTTTTGTATTTCACCAGACCAGGAGTATTTTGTCATCTATTTAATTTTGTTGAATGGGATCCTGGTAGTGCGACAGAGTCCGATGTTTCTAAAGTCTGTCTTCCCAAGCAACCTTGCATCCTTTAAGGATGTGCATTTAAAACATGGATGATTTGCTTATTCCTAGAAGATGAGTATTCCCGACTATAAGTCCTCCTTTTGATCTAAATCATCACCTCATTTGTGTGTCTCTGTAAATGTTAATGGGAAAAGGGTTTTTAGTGAGCTTAACTTTACTGCTCTGACTGCAATTGGCTTCAAATTAAATAATTTCTGTTATTCTGTGGTAAATGGGTTTGGTTGAATTTGTAAGGGGATTTGGCCTAGGATTTAATTTTTTTCAATTTTTTTTGCTCGTCTTGCTTTAAGTTTATAAATAATGTGCACTGATATGTAAGCATGGCGTGTGGATAGAATATGAAAAACAAGATGGAGAAAATATCTAATACTACTGTTTGATTGTAATGCCCGCTGTGTTTTATACAGTATCTTTTTTTCTTTTTTCTTTTTTTTTTGCTTTATTTGTTAGTTTTTTTTCTTCTCTTTGCGCTCACTTTTGGATACTACTGTTTGATTGTAATGCCCGCTGTGTTTTATACAGTATCTTTTTTTCTTTTTTCTTTTTTTTTGCTTTATTTGTTAGTTTTTTTTCTTCTCTTTGCGCTCACTTTTGAAAATTTTTACTAAATACTTTGCAAAAAGTAGTGTGCGATAACTTGTAATTTTTTTAAGTACTTGAAATGCATTAATAAAATAGCCTTGATCAAATCTCCTTTCACTGTTTGGTAAAATATGTCCATGTGTTGAATTAAATTTTATTAATTGCCTGTATGTTCTACAAATCTACACTAATGCATGTTTTTTTTTATTTTATTTTTTTTATTAGTTTATTGCATATTGTAACAGTATATTTCAAGAGCACCACTGATTAAGTATTCAACAAGACATCACAGTAAGTGATGTATCCTGTGTCTACTTTTTACATTAGCCAGGGGTGGACTGGCTATAAATTGTCCTCTGAGCAATAATAACATTGAGTTAAAAACTAATATGGCTAAATATATTTCTGGATGTGTGCTAATTAAAAGAAAGCATCTATATTGTAGTACCATAGAAATATGACTTGAAAATGGTCTAGTCACACATTTTCCCCTATGTTAGGTCAGGATTTGAACCCAGTAACTTTTCAAACTGAACAAACAACAAGCTGCACTGTGGTCATGTCATCTCACTAAGGGCACCTAAATAAATAATAAATATGCATGATGTATGTGATATTACCTCCCTGCTTTATTACTGTGTTATCATGAGGTGATTTCATGAGACATTTATTCAGACAATTAACAACACATTGGACACAAGTACACACCACATACATTTTATTACAGGCTGGACTACATTGAACACACAACTGCACAGATGTTTGCTTGAAGGTTGAGCTTTTACATTATGTCTCGTAATTTTTATAAATTATCTGTAATGGGACAATATTCAGTCAGTTTTGGGAGACTAATAAGAGTCATAAGCTATTTCAGAAATAAAAAGGCAAAGATGGTAGCTCTTAACACTGTTCAAGTGCTACATGGTACCAAGAAAGTTGTTACGCGATTTCTCCCCTGCCCTTGCGGAGGTCTGTGCATGCCACTGGTTTCATAGGGATGCAGGGTATAGGGACCAAAAAAACTGTTCCGAGCCAATTAAGGAGGTGCCATCACACAATTAAACCTGCGCAAAGAATGATGGGAGTTAAGCGTCCATATCCTTAGAAATCCTTCATACCAAATGCCCCTTTTAAGTGGCCAATTTTGAGCACTTTGGTTTGGAACGACCCCTCAATATGACCACGATTGTTCTCACTCTGAAGTGCCCTTTGGGGGCAGCTTTATCCCTCTTGAAACACAGCGAGTATCAACAGCAAAATATAGGGTCAAAGGCCTGCGCCTTTTAGCCAATCAGAACGTGCTCTGTTTGCTGACATTTCAAGGTGGAATTTTGGAACAATTGCTTATAGAAATTAGTGTGTGTGAAATGTAAAAATATCTGATATACAAAAACCATGTTTAATAAAAAAAAATCCTTATACACTTGGCATACATTAATTTCTCCTAAAAAATAAAGGTTAGAAACATTAAGCATATATTACAGGAAATCCAGTATCCCCGTCCCATAAATCCCAATGGCTGTGAAGGTGAAGTGAGTTTGATTTCCCCTTCTAGGGAACTCGCGCTGCGTCCTCTAGTGCAGTGTTTCTCAACCTTTTGGCGTACCACACCCCAGTCCAATTCAGAACCATCTTCAAGGACCCCCAGAACAAAATTGACTCATCTATGTATCATTTGAGTCTTTGTGAGGACCAAATACAGTCAAGTATAATTCAAGTTAGCTGACTTGTCCAGTATTTGGCCATATCATCTATACTGTTCTCCATATACGTCCTGTGTATACTTCAACAGCAGGCTAAACTCCCCCTCATCTACGTCACAGACACGGAATGTCCATTTGCATACTTTAATAAGGGCAGAGTAAAACTATGAAATAAGAAGAAAACAATAAACAAATATGAATTGAGATTCACAACGTGTACATAAAGGAATACTTCTTACAAATATCTTGTAATCTAGATCTAACATTTCTGCTTATCAGATAACACAAAAATATATTGTCAGGCAAATGAAAATGGTAAATGTATCAATGACTCTCATATGGTCAAGTGAGAAAATACATCTAAGATGCACTCAAATAATACAAATAAAATTGAAGGTAATATGAACAATAAAAATAAAACATACCGACGAAGCTACCAAAGGCCAAGGATGAATGCAGATGGATACTGATTCACTGCTTCCTGACTCAAGAATAGACTAGCAGAATGGTAAGCACTAATTTCCTTGTTAGTCGTCTGATCAGTCACATGATAATGACAGCATTATTCTCAGAGCAGCCAGCAGGGGGAGACAACTAAACCCAACATTTATTCCTTAATTAACTTAGACAATTACTGTAACAGAACACCATCAGCTATATTGGATTTTTCTTTCATGGGAACATGTCATGTCAAAATATACAAAAATTCATACTTTATATGGACCCCCTGGCCTTACGTCAAGGACCACTAGGGGTCCACGGACCCCTGGTTGAGAAACACTGCTCTAGTGGACACTAGAGGGACTGCCGCCAGCAGGACCGGTGTGGGAAACAACTCCAATCCCATTGGCCCACATAGCCCGTGACGTCACAGGTGGGCGCCCGGAAGTATAACAGGGCGCCTGCCGAACACGTCACCAACTTTTGTTGTCTTCAAAAGCCGTTTGTTTGACAGTGCGTGTGAAGACATTATGGAAAAAATCAAGGCAAGAGAGCTTTTTAGAAAGTGTGTGCCTCCGTGTCCTAGGTTTCTGACACCCGAGGACACAAACGATCTATGCGTTATGTGACTTGGTGAGGAGCATGCGTGTTTGGTGCTCGAGGGCTCTGAATGCGCTCATTGTGAAACATTTCCAAAGAAGCTCAGTTCGTGCCTGTCCCTCTTCTCAGGGAATCATGGACAAGTTTCTGCGTCTTCCGGTTTGGGTCCCGCTATTACCGAGGCA